ATCTGAAGTGCGTACTCTTGGCCGGCTGAGGGCCTAACCGATCCTAAGAATTAGCCGTTTTTTGCGCTTTCTTGCGCTCCAAAATACATGCTTAATGTATATTTAATGCACAATGAAATGGTGTCATAGCCTGCGTTACATATGCTAGAATTAATCTGTTCCAGTGTACCAAAGAGTGACATAAAGTGTTCAGTCCTTGCATTCGTATATATCTTATTAATTCTTAAATATTTTCGTAGAGTTCGTTCTTTGACAATTTTAATTCAATTTTTGGCTGTTCTATAACCAGTAAGTACTTTGGAGAGTCTTCTGGCGCATAGGCATTTCCATTAGCAGGAAGGGTGTCAAGTTGTCGTTCTTTAAGCTTGAGTATTTGCAGAAGTCTGCGCAGTGCAGCACTTAACACTTAAGGGATGCCGCCGTCTACTAGAGGTTAGACATTTTATAAGAGCCACGTAATTTTAGTGTAGCGTTAAGTCCACAAACAAATCACATAACAAGAAAATTTTGTGCCTTCGCACTCTTCGAGAGGATACTGAAAGTACGTGTTCACTGCTTGCATGTTTTGTAAGGGGGATTTTTTTAATTAACCTAACTGACTTTCGGGACTAAACTGAAAGTACCGCACAGGCAGAATATGTTTGAATCCCTGAATTTAGCATACACAGGATAGAATAACATTTTATAAGTATATAATGAAGCCAATGAGTTCAGACCGCGTTATTGCGACGTTATCATCCATTACTAGAGTGGATTTAGTTGCATCCGGAAAACAGAAAAATGAATTTTAGAGAATATTTCAGTGGGAGAACATTTTATAGTGCTCTCTGTGGGCCGGTGTTATCCTGTCTTAGTTTGATCTGATGTGTTTTAAAAACTAGGCCTGTTTGGTTTCGTTTGTTTAGGAATAGCAAAATCAAAGTTGGCGAGCATCAACTTTAACTTTATTTCAATAAACGTTTAACTTACTGTGCAATTTGTTTCCTCGTCAGATGTGGAAGTTCAGCTCTGAGACGCAGTTTCACCGCATCGCTGTTGAAGTCCTCATTTAGGTAATCACACTTAATTGGAGTCAGACCTTGCGAAGGGTTTGATGTATTGCAACCCACAGGGCACAGGATTGGCGGCTCCTTTTGGTTAACAAGACATGCGGAAATGCAGGTAGACGGGGGTGTGACGTACATCAGTTTTGACACCAAAGCCTGTGCCGCCGCGCGACCGCCATAGCGTTGGCATTGTGTAGGCACGGTATCAGCGACCTCCACTTTGTTCCTTACATCTGAGGGTGTTACAAATGGCTTGTAATCGTTCATTGTAGTCACCTTGTCCCTACGCCTTGCCGGTGGGCATAGTTTGTAGCTGCGCCAAGCTGCTTCTGTCTATCGACTGATTTTCAAATGCAAGGCAAGTCACGTGGACTACAAGGACAGGCATGGCGTAGTCCACACTTCTTTCTGGCAATGAGTCACGTTGGCGTGTTTTGCATATTATGGTGAACAGCCAGTCCATGAGGGTTTTTTAATCCTCTTATTCAGTTCAAGAAACTGGTGAGAAATGCTGCGTTAGCATCCACAGCATTACCGTAGGCTTTGCA